CAAGATTCAGAGCAAGAAACATTTTATAAGCAAACATTTTACTGGATAATACTATCTATGCATATATACTATCTGTGTGGGCTTGTGTTAAGCTATTACTGAGAGAGATAAGACCATAGCAGAACAGGTTACATCTACCATGAGCCAGAAGTGCCAGAAATGCCTGTACTTAAAAGGATTCTTACTATTCCTTAGACATCTCAGCACACCTTTTCTTCTTTAATGATTCCTCTCCCTATCTCTTAAAATTATATTTCCCCAAAGGTCTGTCCTTGAACTCTTGCTGTCACTGACTTCTCTCCACCAGAATGATTTCATTGATTCCCACATCTTATGCCATCATCTGAATATCCACGGCTCCTAAGTCAGGATCACAGCTCCATCTGTGCAATGGATATCCACCACCCCCTCAAACTGAATTCAACACTCTTCCCTCCTCATCCACTCCCAGTCCAGACTTTCTGTGTCTGCTAAAATCACTACCTCACAGAAATATTACATAAATACAGTGGGAACAGTTGCTTCTTTTTTCTCTAAATTGTCTTCTATTGAGAATTCCATAATGTTAATTTTGGGGATGTGTGTGTATGTGTGTGTGTTCAAATTCTATCATACCTCCTTAGGAAAGAGATAAGGTAAAAATTAAATAAACTGTCAATTCTTAGCATTACCATTATCCTAGCTTCCCAGACTTGAAAACGCATTCTCAGTCCATTGCAATGTGATATAGACTCTGTCTTTGGGATATCTCTCCTGTTTGTTTCCTTTCATTTCTACCATCACTTCTTAGTTTAGATCCTAATTTTCTCTGATGTGGAAAACGTCCCAGGCCGTGTCCCTGCTGACAGCGCTCTCCCTTCCCTTCTTCCACACACACCACCAGACTAACTCCCTGAAAGCTGAGCACTGGTCAAGTCATTCTACCGCTCAGACATTTGGTGAGTCCATGTTCACTACTGAACTAGTCGTTAGATCTCCCTGACATTCAAAGCTCTTCTCATCCAGTTTGTCTCACATGAATCACTTTTATATGTACTTAGCCTTGTCCAAAAGGATGCTCACAGTCACTGAACATGGTCTAGGCTGTTCTAACTCAAATCCTTGCTCAGTTGTTTCTGTATCTAAAACATTCTCCTTCAACCCATCCCTCACTTTGGGGGGCTCTTTCCATCTTTTAATGGCCACCTCAATTCATATCAAAGCTGTCTTCTCCCTATAAGATCCAGACCAAACTTCTCATCATGAGATATTAAGCCCTCCATTACCTAGCCCAGACATGTATTTCTGCTTCTTATTAGTTACTCATAAGCAGTACTACCTTTAGATCCAAACAAAAGGGACCTCTCCTTTGCCCAAATCCCTTAGGGCCATTCTGGACTTTTTTCTACTATACCACATTCCATGGGGCAAATGGATGTGCCCACCCACAGTCCATGCTGTCCATCCCTTCTAACCCATCTTCCAGGTGACAGGATCCTAAAGTTCATTGGCCAAATGGCTCTCATCCAGCTTTTTCTCAGAGTCTGTAAGTGCCTCTTTCCCAAATCACCCTTGTGAAACTAAAACACACTATTTAGTTTTCACATTTAGATCTAAGGGTAGCCAAGGGACGGCTGTTTGCAGTGGTGTGCATGGAGCTTGTACGTGCAGCTGGAGACACGTCCTATTCACACCTCTGCATTCTAGCTGGAAACCCCAAAGATCCCAAGAATTCTGCCTTCCAGCTCATGATAAAGTCATAGTTGTTAAGGCCAAAAGATAAAACATATTTTTATTACCTTTTCACCTTGATTTTTCATTTTTAAGTATGTAGGCATATTATACATGAGTTTTCATTTATTATTCTTGCCTTGGGCCCTACCAGTGCCAAAAGCAGGCCTGCTCCTTGGAAGCTGCTTTCTAACCACATCAAATATTTGCAGTAAGTTAAAGCCTGATCTTTCTCAAACCTCAGTAACTTTGCTCAGCCTATCCTGTCTATCATGCCTTAGAGTTTCCTTGTACTGAAGCACCCTTCAAAAAGTTGAAAGGAAAAAACTGCCACCATTGCTATTATTTTTTAATATTGCTCTGGAAGTACTAGTCAATTCAAGTAGAGGAGAAAAAGAAACAAGAAATACTATATAGACATGAGGGATGACATTTACATTCTTTCATGTAATATGAATTTGAAAACCTAAGGGAATCAACTAGAAAAATATTTTTTAATGATAAGAAACTATAGTAAGTAGCATAGTTTTAAAATCAATTTATAAAAATCAACAGCTTTCGGGGCAGCACCTGTGACTCAAAGGAGTAGGGCACCAGCCCATATGCCAGAGGTGGTGGGTTCAAATCCAGCCCGGGCCAAAAAAAAAAAAAAAAAGAAATCAACAGCTTTCTGTATTTATTTTGAATTAGTAGCTTTCCTATATGTAAATAATATTTAAATCAACCACAAAAATGGAGAAGAAAGATTTAATTTATAATAGTAAAAGAACTAAAAAAAAAAAAAGTAAAAGATAAAATACCTGTGCCTAGAATTTAAGGAAATAGGTAGTATATATACTTATAAAGTTCAAAGAAAACTTTAAAATTCTATTTAGGAAATTCTCTAATAGATAAAGTACATACCTTAGTTATAGAAAAGAAGATTCAATTGTAAAGATGCCAGTTATCCCCCAAATTACCATATCAATTAAACGAAATAGCATTATAAGTAAAGCTGAATTATTTTTGACTTTTGGAACTTTTTCAAATTGCATTAGGGTTCATCTGGAAAAAATATATACATATGTGAGAATGGCCAGAAAATTCCTAGGAGATATTAAAATGAATTATACAGGTATTTAAACATTTATCATTGGTTCCAGAAAACACTTGGTACTTGAGGATGTTTTCACATATGATAAAATTGGAGCTTTAAATCAACAGAATCAGCAGGAAAACAATTTTGTCAACAAGTTGTGTTTGAACACCTGGCTAACCACTCAGAAAAATAAAGACACAGTCATGCATACATAATGACGTTCTGATGGCCACATAAATGATAGTGGTCCCATAAGATTATTATGTCATATTTTTACTGTATCTTTTCTATGTTTATATATGTTTAGACACACAAATACATACTACTGTGTTATAATTGCTATAGTTTTCCGTAGAGTAACATGCTGTACAGGTTTGTAGTCTGAGAGAAAAAGGTGTACCATGTAGCCCAAGTGTGTAGTAGGCTGTACCATCCAGGATTGTGTCAGTGCACACTCTGTGATGTTCACATGACACTGCCAACTACACATTTCTCAGAATGTATTCCCATCCTTACGTAATGCATGACTGTAGTTGGTCATCTTGTTCCTCAAAATTAAATTCCAGGTAGATCAGAGTTCATAATGTAGAAACGAAATCCAGTAAATCTCTAGAATAAAACAAGAGATAAAAACTAATTTTAAACTGAACATATCAATATAACCATATGTAACCATAATCACAAAGATCAGAATTCAAAAAGAAAGTGCTTGATAAATCTGACATCAAATAATGTAAAACATGTTTCCAAGCATAAAAAAATTACTACAGTAACATTAAGGAACAAGTGATGATCTGAAACATAATTTGCAATATGTAGATCAAACAAAGGACTGAGGACTGATTTTCTTAAAACAAAGAGCCACCATAAATAAAATATTTAGAAAATCAAAACCTAATAGAAAAAAGTAACAAAGGAAATGAACTGACAGTTCCTAGGGCAAAAATAAATGTACAAAAAATTGTTGGAAATTGTTTACTTCTACTCATAAAAATACAGATTAAAACAACGTGAGTTACCAATGTTCACCATCATGGTGGCAATGATCTAAATTTAATAAAACTATGGACAAGAGTATAGAAAAATCAGTATTCTTACACAATATTGTTGGAAGTGAGTGTAAGATGTGAGTGAAACTTCTAAGGAGGTCAATTTGTTAGTCATTATCAAATAGAAAAATGAATATATATGACAAATGTTGCTTCTAGGGGTTTATCCTTTAACCTAGTACATGCTTAGGGATAATTATTACAGCTTTATCTGAAAGAGAGAAAAAAAGAAATAAAATAGTGTAAATATTTAAATGCCCATTAAGAAGGAACTTGTTAATAAGTTTTGAAAGGAATGTCATAGATTTATGAGTTGCTTTGGAAATACGTCCTTAATGTAAAAAAAAAAAAAATAATATATATATATATATATAAAAAAAACAGGCACAAAACAGGATAAGCTTATTTATGTAGAAAAGTGTGTGTGTGTGAATATTCTTATTTGTTTACACATAAGAAAGTGTTAACATTGAATAGCAGTAAGTAATTACACTGGCGGTAAAGGAGAAAAAGCTCTGTTTTCTCATTTGTATCCCCCTGTCCTATTTTATAATTTCACCAAGTAGATGTATTGCATTTATAATTTAAAATACGTATGTTTTATTCATATCCATATCACCATCACTCAGCACAGCAACAGGTACATTAGAGATGGGTAATATATGTTTGATAAATAAATAAGAATGAAAGAATGGAGCTTTCCATTTCCACCATCCACATTCAATCTCTCCCTCCTGTGATCCCCTACAGCGCTTTATACAGCTCTAATAATACGTGCTCACATTCCCACATGGAATAAGACTTTGCACACCCTTCTGCTTGACTCCATGAGAACAAAGACACCATCCCACCCATCTCCATCCCAGCACCATGTGCGCTGTCTGGCTTTAAGCGGAGCTTAGAAGTATTGGTTGTATTGAACTCAAAACACTTCCGCTGTTAACATGAAAATAGATCCTGTTGTAGGAAAATTATTTCCCATGGATCCAAAAAGAAATAAGATCAGATTTTGTGTCTTTTTCAGCAGACTGAAGCCCCGTGGCTAATGATAGCTTTTAACTAGTCCTGGAACAAAGAGATAAATAAATAGCTTTTGCTTTTAAGTGTCTAATCATTTTCTTTTTTGCCATATTTCTTCTTTTTTCATCAGGCAAGAGATGAGAATGACAAGAGGCAATCGTACCACAGTGACAGAATTTGTCCTCATGGGATTCACAGACAGACCTGAGCTTCAGCTCCCACTCTTTATGGTGTTTCTGCTCATTTATCTCATCACCCTAGTGGGAAACCTTGGCATGATCCTGCTCATCAAGGCCGATTCGCGGCTCCACACACCCATGTACTATTTCCTCAGTCACCTGGCATTCATTGATCTTTGTTACTCATCTTCTATTGGGCCCAAGATGCTGCAAAATTTACTGGTGAAGAAAAAAACTATTTCATTCTCAGGCTGTTTTGCTCAGCTGTACTTCTCCAGTGCTTTTGCCACTACTGAATGCTTCCTGTTGGCCACCATGGCCTATGACCGCTACATGGCGATCTGCAGCCCCCTGCTTTACACAGCCATTATGACACAGCGGGTCTGCAAGGAATTGGTGGTAGGAGTCTATACCTACGGCTTCCTAAACTCTGTGATACAGACAGTTCTGACTTTCCAGTTGTCTTTCTGTGACTCCAATGTCATCCACCACTTCTACTGTGCTGACCCCCCTCTCCTTGCCCTCTCCTGTTCTGATACCCACAACAAAGAAAAGCATCTCTTTATCTTCTCTGCAGTGAACCTCACTGGATCCCTCCTGACTGTCCTCATCTCCTACATCTGCATCCTCTTTTCCATCTTAAAAGTCCAGTCCTCCGAGGGCAAATGCAAAGCGTTTTCCACCTGTGCCTCCCACCTCACTGTGGTCACCATCTTCTATGGAACACTGTTTTTCATGTACCTGCGGCAACCTACAACCGGGAATTCATGGAGGCAAAACAAAGTGGTCTCTGTGTTTTATAGTCTGGTGATTCCCATGCTTAACCCTCTGATCTACAGCCTGCGGAATACAGAAGTAAAGGATAGCCTGAAAAAAATGCTGGAGGGTAAAGAGTCATAGGGAGCACGTTATCAGAATGCAACATCATGAAAATTTGATATGCTGATACTTTATAACAAATCTGATTGAAATTTAGCAGGCTAATTCTTACCCAATCATTCCAAGCAGATTTAATCCAATTGGAGTATTTTAATGACCAAAAGTCCTGGGCCACTTGCTCCATATATTAACAGGAATATTTAAGCCAGCCAATTATCTTGGGCGAATCAAGATTGATTTACAAGCTAGGATGTCAATGTCAACGTATGTTCTTGTATGTTGAAAATGAAGTGGCTTACTACCAATTAGATAATGATATGAGCTATAAATGTAAAAAGATCCTGAAAAGAAACATTCTTGGTGGACGTATAAATTAATGAAACTGGTTACAAAACTCACGCATGAAAATCTGTTAGTATAAATACTTTTCACCTTAAAACAAGCTGTGTTGTAGCAAATCACTTGTTGGTGTTTGAACATATTTCTTCCTAACACGTTGCTACAGGTAGTGATTAAGTTTTAAGGCCAATTGTAAAGCTTATTTAATCCAAATGTAGTTGAAATACTGCATGTTTTAAATAAACCATAGAAAAAACAGTATTGTAGCACCAGTAAAGGGGAAAAGGAACTAAAAAAGGGTGATTCCGCTAAATGTGGGGTAGTTTCGAAAGGAACATTTAATTAGAAGAAATAAAGACAGGGTTTAGGATACTTTCAGAAATGTTACAAGTAGTGATTTATTCAACAGCCAGGGTTTAATTTTTGTTGTCTCTGGAAAGTGGAGGTACAGTGATTTAAGGTGGGGGTGCAGTGGGCGATGAGTAGAGAGAAAAAGGAATGAAAGTAGGGAGAGATTCCTGAGGTTACAAAGCCAGGGTATGAATATTTCTGAGAAATAAATTGTCTTAAATAATTTGAATGATCTAGAGAAATACTTTAACTTTGCAACATTTTCTATGTTTTTTAATCTTTTGTTTTCACAGATCCAATATTCTAATTTCTTGGAGATAAATCTATGTAAGTTCTTACCATTTGTGGAGATAGGTGAAAGAAATATCACTTTAACGTTTTTCTTATTTAATTTAATCAAGAATATGAGGGAGGGCTCTGTGGTTTTTCCAAGCGTCAATTGTAATACTTCTTTCAGAATAATTCTTAAGACAAATGAATCTACCACAGACCTTTAGTTTTTCTTCCTAAAATGTTTTAATGTAATTAGTAATATGTGATTTTTTTAATGGTTAAGAAAATATATTACCTTTTAGTTGAAAACTAACCAAGAAACTCAGGGGTCTCTGTTATCCCTGAATTAACTCTTCAAATATAAATGGGATCTTTGTTTTGTTGTTGCTTGTGAGCAACAAATGTAAGAAAATAAAAATAGTTAAATATTCACGTTGCCTCTTACTTAGTGCTGAAAGTCCTTCTGGAGAGTTGAGTTATAAACTGCATTCCTAATTATTTGAAGATAGAGTGTTGTCTATGGTTGACAAGGAAGATACTAGCAGGATAAAGGGACAGAATGATGAAAAGTAGGAAGCCACAGGGAGGCAGGAGAGGTTGCACAGGTAACGAGCAGGAGGGAAGTGGGCAAAGTACACAGGGCAATGCTAAAGGGTAACACAAGACTGGGGGTTAGACCACGAGCTCCTCCAGACCAAGCAGATTATCCTCTTCACTTTGGACTCTAGCACCTACCACAGTTCCAGGCACAAAACAAACGCAGCATAACTGTCTGCTGAACTGAACTGAACTCTTTTGTATTGATTCTTAACTCCAATAGATAGGTCAACAAAGTGCCCAGAAGTGGACCCATAGTGGGGAAGTGACAGAAGGAAGTCCCTGGGGTTAAAATATAAGGACTGTTTTCCAAAATCCTCCCACCCCACCCCCATCCCGGTGAGGCTGATATCTGTGAGACAGGAAGATATACATTGGCAACAATGTAAACTGACCAGGGAAAGAGATGCATGTAGAAAGTTGGTATACTGGGAATACATGATAACTACAGCTGTTGATGGACCATGACCCCTGGAGCAGCTGAGGGATTGCTGCTATAGAAAGAGGTTGCTGCTAATTGAGGTAAAGGCAAGCAGGCTCCAACACTTCGACAGGAAATGTGCTTTCAATCAAAAGCCACGCCTATTTATTAAATTTTTCTCTCAAACTGTTTCCATGTGTGTTTCATTTTAAAAGACGAAAAAAAAAACCACCACTAAGTAGATAGCACATGTTTTAATACATGGCTCTCGGCCGATTAATTGTATTCATGTTTTAAAAGGAGTATTTGATCTAAAAGTTTCACCAATTCTTCAGTTCTTTTCAAAGAAACCTGAAGAAAATATGTCCTAAAACCTGACCATAATAACTTCCCAGCTGTTGAATTTGTGCACTTTTCTTAATATGCTCCCTTGACTGCCCTGTAAAACAAAGCATAGAATAGAGACTATTGAATTCACGAATTATGAAGGACAGGAATCCGTATTTTATTACATTCCCCAAAGACTTGGAAAGTAAAGAAGGATCTACATCAGCTAATTTTGAGCTCATATTTTCTATTTTCTCTTCCCACTGGAACTCCTTAGCCTTACAAATTTATCTCTCCGTCTCTGGCCTTATGAAGTAAGAAAGGTGTTGGTGAAGAATTAATTAATTATTTACATTTTCTAAAACTGTATAGATCTCTAATAGACATGGATAGTATTTAAGTAACAATATTTAAGCCATAAGAGAAGCCAACATGATTATGTGCCTTTTCTTATTTATAAAGTGAAGATGTTTTAATCAATATACATAATAGTTATACTAATTTTTTAAGCCCCAAATAAATCTTTTATGAATATGTAAATGTTACCAAAATAATGGGAGTTTTACTTTTGCTGGAATTTAGGCATCATTTCATTAATAGTGAAAATAAACTGCTCTCGTGTGTAAATAAAATGCAAATTCATTTTCCTCAGGGTAATTCTAAAAAATGAATGTTATTTGCCAGCATTCACCACTCAGACAATTTTTATTAACAAACTCAACATATATATATGAAATATCTGATGTGTGTATATATACAAATATGTACTCATTTGCACATAAAATACTGGATTATTCAATCAATATAGATTTAAATTTCTTTTTCTTTTCATTTGTTACTCTTATTGATTTGTCGTGTTTGGAAACATACCAAAACAATTTTTTTTAATGCTGATCATAAAAAGAAAACATGACAGAGAAAGTCTCTTCCACTTCTCTTTCATATCATTTTATGTAGAAGTATTTCAAAAGACTAAGCATTCTAAAATCTCAAGTCTGTGCCCCTCAGATTTTCAGCTCTGTCCTGGACATACAGGTCAAGCATTCTTTGATGAGCAAGGCAGAATAGAAAAGTTTTCATCTGGTGCTCAAGAGTGGCTCCACCAGCAAGGAAATGGTGCATCTACTAGAGGTAAGGGGCCACTGATGTCACAACTGGGGGATCTGAGGTTCCTGGGAAAATGACAGATTTAGCCTACTTTTCCAACCTGGTTGCTGTAAGAATAAAAACATTTTATAAATTACTAGAACTTCCATCTCTGGTCATATAAAAAAAAAAAAGTAGAGAAAGGAAAAGATGATATTTAATTTTTAAAAGATCAACTGTCTCTTAGGCCTTTGAAGAAGCTTAACCATTCTAACAGAGACTGCTTTCAGAAGGTTGTATTCTATTATTCCATGGTTCAAAAAACAAAACAAAACAAAACAAAATAAACAAAAACAAAACACTTTTTATTTCCGCAAGCTCACTTTTTTTTGCCTGGGTATGTGTTGGCCACTCTGGCACCTGAACACCCACCAGCCTATAGCTTCTGCTTCTCATTTCAGGTGATCCTGTTTGCTGGCTACACTGGGTGTGGCATAAGGAGCAGGGGAGCAGGGATAGGACTATGCCCCAGGCTCAAGACTCTGCAGGGTCACCCTGGACAAGGGACGCTGCCCAGCTATGGGCTGCTCAGATTTGGACACGAGTAGGCTGCCATCTCTGGTTTCCCCTGGAGGCTTTTTCTTTCTTTTTTTTTTTTATTGTTGGGGAATCATTGATACAATGGGCCAGGTTACACTGCTTGCGTTTGCTGGGTTAAGTCCCTCTAATAATAGTGTCCCAACCCCAAGAAGTGTGTCACACACCCTGGCCCCACACCCATCTCTATTCTTCCCTCTCTCAGATCCCCCATTCCTCCTCCCCATCAAGTACTAGCATTAATTGTCTTCATATCAGAATTGAGTACATTGGATTCTTGCTTCTCGTATCTTGTGATGCTTCACTAAGAATAATTCTTCCTTTGTATAGAACCAGAAAAAACTCCATATAGCTAAGGCAATTCTTAGTAATAAAAACAAGGCCAGGTGGTGGCACCTGTGGCACAAAAGAGTAGGGCGCTGGCCCCACATACCCGAGGTGGCGGGTTCAAACCCAGCCCTGGCCAAAAACTGCAAAACAAAACAAAACAAAAACAAGGCCAGGGCATTAGCCTACCAGACTTTAGGCTGTGCTACAAGGCATAGTGCTCAAAACAGCATGGTAGAGGGTTTTTGTTTTATTGTCTTTCCTCTTAGAGCCACTTTTAATCTTTTTTTTCTTCTCAATACCTGTTTAATCTGAAAGCGGTTATCATAAATAGTATATCATTTATCATTTGCCTTAGCAAAACTAACAACTAGCTTTTCCTTAGAAATCTTACAAATGCAGAGTGTAAATTAATGTTAATTATAATAATACAACAAATTGAAAAGAAACTCTAATTAATGTTATCTGTATGGGGGGAGTTGTCTTTTTATCAAAAAAGTGTGAAATATTGCCTTAAAGTTTTGGGCTATCTTTTCTACTTATATTTACTATAATTCACAGATGGGTCCTAACATGACCATAGGTACAAAATAACAGTTCTATCATCTTTAATCTGAGTATCATTCTCTGCTCTAATTAATTTGGTGTCCAAACACTATCTGTTAAGTTTTATCCTGGATTATTCATATTTTCCTATACATTA